TAATCCCTGGTAGCAATAAAAATGAAAAAGACAAAAAAAAAAAAAAAAGAATTGCCTATATCATCAGGTATAATAAAATTGAACAAAACAGTACAGAACAAAACCATTAAAACCTAAGCATTGGAGACATTACTGGACTTCAAAAGAAGATAATAGTCAAACCAGAATGAGCATCATAGTGAATCTTATTGCTTTCAAAGTAGTTGCCTATACCCTCAAACTTGATACTATCAAACAGAACAGAATAGAGTAAAATCAGTCAAAACAAGATGGTGAGAGCAATACAGGACTTCAAATCAAGTTAATAGGAAATCAAAGTAGGTTACTATAATATATCCTCCTAGTTTTTTAAAATTTTTTCCTTAATTAAAAAATAATAAAAAATTTTTAAAAAGGGGGAGATTGAGATAAAAGAGGACATAACAATACAGGTTAGAACAGAACAATTTAAGCAACATAGTGTTTCACCACAAGATAACCCGACTTAATAGTAGCTACACAAAAACTTATGAGCAAAATTAAAACAAGTTATTTACCAAAATATAACACAAATGGTCTCTAGTCCAATTTCCACTAGTGTTCTCATTCCCATTTTAAACCTCATGGATCTAGTCTTTACAACTCAAATTTCTATCAGAATTCTTGTCTTCTGAGTTCACATCAGAATCACTTATCGCTCTGCTGACAGCATTCTAAGGATTCCCTAGCTAAGTTCTCTAAAACTTTCTAAATCCTCCCACAAACCAGTTCCTCAGGATTCTAAACCAGATGGTCACATATAGTCACAGCAATGGCCACACTCCTGGAACCAATTTTCTTGGGCAGTTTCCTCACCACTAAACAAAATGTTTGACACTTGAACCCCTCAGGAGGAAAAGTTTGTTACGGCTCATGGTTTCAGAGATTCCAGCCCATGGTTGTCTTGTTCCAAGGTAGAAATAGAAGGATGAAAGATAATGGGAGACAAACGTTGCTCAGTCCATGGAAATCAAGAAGCAGAGGGAGGAGAGAAGATCCAGGAACAAGAATGTACCTTTCCAGGTCATATCACTAGTGACCGACCTCCCGTAATCTCCCATCTCTTATCAGTACATTCAGCTATGAGCTCCCCACTGATGAGTTTAGTGTCCCATCATCCAATATCTTTCAAAAGTCCCAATTCTCAACATGAGAATTTGGGGGGTTAAAAACCATAACATATGGGTAAGAAATTCAACATATAAATGTGTGGAGGCACAATTCAACATATTATGCAGGGAAAAGTTGTTTTCATCATTTTTTTTCATTTTATATTACTATTCATGCTTTAGGACTGCCTGCAAATTAAATCATTTATTTTGATCATTCTACTATGTCTGAATTTTTGAATTTTGTATAATGATAACAATGTACCTTTTTTATAAGTCAGTAATTTATTCCTCTTTATAGTTTAGTACTATAATGTACAATTACTTCACCATAAAATACTAATACTGTAATATTATAAAGTATTGGGTTTTTTCTTTTCTTTTTCCATCATATACATATACACTTGCCTGATAATGAAATTTTTGCTAGTTCCAGGTTTGGATATCTTGAATAAAACTGCTATGAACATTCTTACACAAGGATCTCTGTGAACATTCGGTTTTCTTTTCTTGAGTAAAGCTGTTGGCTTAAAGTACAGGGATATACAAAAGTATGGGGATATATTTAATTCTACAAAAGCAATAGGGAGAACTTCTTTCCAAAGTACTCATCCCATTTTATACTCCTAGCAGCAGTAGGAGAGTGTTAGATCTGAATCAGTGTCTTAAACTCTGGCTACTTGGGAATGATCTCTCCTTTGACAACCTTGCAGAACACTCAGCTCACTCCTCAGATAAGAACCTGTCCAAGCAGTGTACATAGTGAAAAGTCGTAAGCACTTCACCTTTGGATCCACTATAATATTCATGGCAAAGTCACACTCTCCAATAGAGTCCCTACGATGAGCATGCAGATTACTAAAATCAGGCTATTTCTTCCTAGCAAAGGATTTGCTATACTTTGCATCTGAAATGTACCCCCAAAGGCTCATGTATTGAAGGCTTAGTGCATAAGGTCCCGGTGTTCAGAGACGGAGATTTAGATCATGAGGAAACTCACACTTTAATCCATTCATGGGTTCATAATTTGATGGGATCTTGGGATGTAATGAATACTTGGGGAAGAACCTAGTTGAGGAGAGTGAGTTACTGGGGACATGCCATTGCAGATCATATTTTGACTTGGCTTTCCTCCTTCCTCTCTCTCCCTTCTCTCTTCTTCGTTGTATGCTGTGGCTTTGTACTGAAAATAAAGGTCCTTGAAATCAACAGAAGTTTATTGATCAGTAAGACTGTCAATGTTTGTTTTTAAGGGCTGATGGAGGAACTACTCCATGTCCCTCTCCTGCCATCTGGTGGTTTGTTAAATTCTGGGGCCCCGTGGCTTGTAGAAGTACTGCCCTGGATTATACCTTCACCCTCAGATGGTATGCTCCCTGTGTTCATATCCTTGAAGTCAATGTCCTCATTTAAGCCATTTAAGTTTAGGGTCCAACTTAATGACTCCCTCTTAACTTAATTGCATCTGCAATGACCCTATTTCTAAATAAAGTCACATCCTGAGACTTAAACAATGAACTATAAGGACGAGTGGGAACACAGTTTAATGAACATCATGGGTGTAGCAATTGAGGGAAAGTGAAATTTCAAGAATAAATGTGTCTCGGAGAACTGTCACATGTTTAAGCCCCCCTGGACTACATAAACCAAAACAAAACAAAAATAAAGTAAATCTACCTTAACTGCTCTTAGGATAGACTAGGTAACACTTCGATAATTACTCATCTTAATTACAAGTGGATGAAAAACAAAAGAATTTTAATTAGTCAAACTAGGTCATTGAGAGCAGCAAGACCTTCTAAGGCAGTTGTTCCTCCATCTTATGGCTAAAGTCCCAGACTGCTTCCACCTTCACAGCCTCAGTGAGGGCACAGAAGCCTGGTATCTGCACTGGGTTTTCCCTGATCTCATCCTGAATGAACCATTGCAGCAGTGCCTGTGTTTGAAGCTGGTTCAGGAGTGCACCCTGGGAGAGGCTAGAAAGTGAATCACAGATGTTGCTCAGCAACATTGGGTTGAGGACTAGTGTCAGAGATGTTTGCTCAGCAACAATGGCTGAGGACTAGTGTCAGAGGTGTTTGCTTCATCCATGGGGGTAATAATCTCTATCCACAGATTGGAGAGCAGGAAAACAGATACAGTGAACCCTTAAGTTACTGCCGGCCTGATATACAGACAAACTCAGTGATAACTGAGAGTTTTGACTTACAACCAAAGTCTTGAGTTATGTCCTGAATGCTGACCTCTTGTGATTCCAGATGGTCTCAGATACAGATTTCACCTGTAGGGCTCTGGAAGGAACATGACAACATCCTTTCCTGTATGGGTGCACTGAGAGATCCTGGGCCAGTGTCTCTCTAAGGACACTGAGATCTGCCTGGATACAGGAAAGACTTGAAGGCTGTGTAGAGGAGCCTGAGCCTCTAGTCGACAACCTGAGTTACAACCAGCCCTCAGGGATGAATTGAATTCTTAAGTCAAGAGTCCACTGTACTTATTTTATGAATTGAATCTGAGTCACTGTGTCCGAGAAACCTGAAGATTAGAAAAGATAGCTCCAGGGAGCATTATCTGGCCTGTCCTTTAATGGCTAAGGCCCAGGACTAAGGGGGAAGCAGAAGTTTAACAGGACTATCAAGAACACCCTATCTTTCCGTAGGATCAGCAACTTGTAAGAGATGAGAGGGAAAAAAGGAGGAGGAAGAAGATAGAAGGAAGTACTGGTCAGAGTTACGAGCAATGGAATCTGCCCATTCAACCTTCCTCCAAGGGGACCACGGCGATAACCCAAGGACAGAACTAGGATAAAATCCTCATCACTTCCCCAGAGCTTTGCATGACCTCTGGCACTTTGTATGGACTTGCATGAACAAATGGCTCATGGATGGAATGAATAAATCACACAAAATGCTCTTTCCAATTCTCAAAGGCCATGCATAGCAGAAGAAATGCCCAGTGCTTCCTAGCTAAAGCCCCATTCACTGTGCAAATGAGTCCACTGACTGTTAGAGCAACAGTTCTTGTCCATTGAGGAAGTGAGTGCGGGGTGGGAACCCAGTAGTGTTCACACACACAGCTGGTGACGGGAATGTGCTAAGCTTCCAGAAAGGCTTCCCAATGATCTGAAATACATTTTGGCTATTCGTGGCCTGAAAGACTTTCCAGTGCTCACCTCTGTCTCAGGAAATGGGCCGGCCAAGCTTCAGGTCTACCATGTGACCCACCAACTCCCAACCTCCCAGAGGGAGTAGCTGGATAAAGGAAGCTGGAGCTCCAAAAACTAAGTCAGTAGCTTGGTAGTATCAACTCCAGCATCATCCGAGAGGTAAATGCCCAGAAATTAAGGTCCAGTCAAGAGCATTGGTGTGGATGTGGGCAGGTGCTTGTGTGTGTTTGTATATAGCATGGGCTTCAGAAGGCTTGGAAAGAAAGATTGTTGCTTATGTTCAGGAGAAAAATATTGGGGATCGGATTCCGTGGATGAAATTCCTAAGCCTTGAATCCAATGTAGTAATGGTGGGTCATAATTTCTGATGGCAGGAACATCTGGGTGTTTTAGAATGAACATCCTTCCACCTCTTAGGAATTTTTAGTCTGAGGAGGAGCAAAGGAGGCTTCATTGGTACGTCATGTGGGGTCTCCAAGGGTCTGAGCCTTGCATGTGGTAATACTATTCCGCAGGGCTGGGAAGATTCAGGAAGTGGTATGTGTGTCTATGGATGGTTCAAAGTCACTCTCTGTGCTCCACTGTGACAGAGGGGTTCTCCTGTGTGCTTCAAGTCAACAGAAAAAGCTTGAGGGCAGAAACTGGGAACAACTGGGAGAGAAGTCCAGGCCAACAGGTCCGCAAGTGTCCCTCTCAGAGCTCTCAGCATGAACCCCCTCCTGCTGCTGGCAATGGTGATGGCCTCCGGTAAGAGTTGATCTTGGTCTGTGAGCATGGGGCTGGGCAGCAGCACAGGGAGGGAAGCACCCAGACCCCCAGTTCTCTTTCCTACTGCAGCAGTCTTCTCTCACTAGCAGAAAGAATGAAACCATTCAGAGAGTGAGGAGGAATGGAGAGGAGGAACTCAGGGACCCACATCTTATCACAGGACCATTTGTCAATCCTCTTCCAGGGCTAATGTGTGTCCTTGGTGATATTTGGGATTTCCAGAAAATGATCCAGCTGACGACAAGAAAACAGCCTCTCATCACTTACGGCTTCTATGGTTGCTACTGTGGCCTAGGTGGCAAAGGAACCCCCAAGGATGAAACGGATTGGTAAGGTCACCCCAGCCCCTTCTGCCCTCTGTTCATTCATATGCTTGGCATGGCTGGAAGCTGCAAGGAGGGAGCTGGCTCCCCAGTGTGTCAAAATTTCTAGCAGGCCCTAGCTGGAAAAGCAGCCAAAATGTTTTGAACTATGGCTTAGGCAACTCTGAAGTCACTGAATCTCTGTCTAAGCTGAAGGGAAGAGGGATGATGGGACAGAAAAATCCACCTGACAGAATGTGCTCCTACCAGGTGCTGTGCCAGGCATGACTGTTGCTACCAACTTCTGAGGAAGCGTGGGTGTGGCACGAAATTTCTGCACTATGAGTTTACTCTAACGGGGAACAAAATTGAGTGCAATGGTAAGAAAAAGGCCACAATATCTTCATGATTCCTTCATTTGCCAGCTGAGTGGCCACTGTGCTAGGCTTTGCACTGGGCACCAAAGATACAGACACAAAGGAGCATTATCCCTGTCTCAAGAAGCTCATGGTTGAGTGGGAGGCAGGAAAACTGAGAGCATGGGTGAGGAAGGCTGTAGCAGGGAGGAAGCAAAAGAGAGATTCTTAATATACCTAAGGCTCAAGGAAGTTCCTCAAGTGATGACATCTGTGCTGAGTCCCAGAGGCTGTGCAGAGAGGCAGGGACCTGCAGTGCTTGAATGTTTGCAGAGGAGTACCTGAGGGGAATTGCAGTCCATACTGTGCTGCTAGGGGAATGTGTGAGGACCAGAGGGATAATAAGACAGACCTCCTAGGCTAAGCATCTGTAGATTTTATCCAAAAGCAGCAGGGAGCTATTTAGCAAAGGAGCTACAGGAGTAGACATTGAGTTCAGAAGATTGCTTCTGCCCCATGATAGATGGGGCCATGCTGAAAGAGATCAGTCAGCAAGCTTCCACCAAAAGGCAGACAAGATAGAGCAACCAGGTGGAACAGAGCACCAGAGGTCAGCAGGAAATGGGTGGGCTGAGTCCAGAAACACTGGAGGAGGTTTGGCGATGATCTGGCTAATGGGGATGCCTGACTCTCACATACTGAGAATTCTAGAAGTTGGCAACACCATGCCTGAGATGCTTTTCCATCATGTTCCAGCACTTTTCCTCAGCTAGGCCAAGCTGGCTGTATCTACCTTTGTGCTGTCAGCATGTTCCTGGAGCTCTGCACAGCATGGTCTCAGTCACAGAGCAGGCTTTCCCACCATACCACTGCCTTTTCGGAGGGAAGAAATTCCTGCTTCTTCGAACTCCCCAGTACATTTCCCCTGTCCCTCGCTGACCAGAAGATCACATACTATCCAGAACCCAATCCTGCTAGGCACAGCAGAAGGCCCATGCCTGGCTTTTACAAATCACTAACTATTCCTGGGCTTCTGGAGCTTAGATTGGCCACTTGAACAGGTCTGTTAGTAGGTGAAAGGGAGAATGGCCCTGGAGAATTCCTCTAGCCATCTCAGAGCTTGGCATTGTATCCTTCCTTATTGATAGAAATTCTCCTTCCCATTGGGAAGAACCATCTGGAACCACCTGAAACTATCCCTCATAAGAAGCCACAGAATTTGGGGAAGGGGTAGAGACAGGGTCTTACTATATATTAAGGGAGGAATTGCACTCTGTGTAGCCCAAGCTGGCCTCAAACTCATGGGGATTTCCCTGCCTGAGTCTCCCAAGTGCTGGGATTATAGATGTGTACCACCATACCAGGTAAAGAGCCACAGATAATTAACCCTCATCTAATTACTGTTTTCTTCTAATTTCAGCAAACCAGGACTACTGTCAGGCTCAGGTGTGTGAATGTGATAAAACTGCTGCCTACTGTTTTGCTGAAACCAAGAAAAGTTATAAAAAAAGTTACCAGTTCTATCTTGACCTGCTTTGCCATGGGAAGGGACCTACTTGCGAAAACCCTCTTGACTCAGTCACCTTGAAACACAGTCCAGAGTCTTCTCCTCTAATGTCACTCCCTCCTTCAATTAAACTCCCTGAGGATAAACAGCCAGCCAGCAGCACTTCTGTCCCCACCTAGGAGAGGAAGCCCAATGCCTGGGGCCTATCTGATTGGTCTCTTTGCCTTAGGACAGCAGATTTCCATCCATGGTTCCCCTCGATGTCAATCTTTTACCTTAGCAGCAGCAGCTACACTCCTGAGAGGGGCTCTTGTAAATAAAGAAACTAATGTGCAAGCCTTGAATATGTGCATGTGTGTTCTCATGATTGTGTATTCACCCTCTTTGCTCTTAGTATAAAGTCATACCCATACAGTATGTCAGAAAGCTTAGAAATATATGATCTGGAGTCAGACTCTCTCAGTTGAATCCTCCCATCTCACTTCCCCAGGTCTCAGCTCTCTGGCCAAATGAGGATCAAACTAGTGCCTCCCCCTTAGCGTGTTTGAAAATTAAGGTAGATGCTGACCTTAAAGCACTAGATATGATATGGTCATGTCTGTCATCCCTATTAGGAGTAAAAGGCAGACATGGCTTTCCCCTCGGTAAGCCCTAGAGTAACAGAAATTACTGAAACAGTTTAGGATTCTATTAGACAGTAAGGATAGCATACCCAAAATGAGATCAACTGAGTCCCAACCCTCAGGGATCTTATGAAAAAATCTTCCAGGGGTGCTGTGGCTTAAAGAATCTCCCCAAAGTATGATCAGGCAGGCTCAAGGATGCATAAACTCTGCATGGGTACCACGTGAACACTGCTTAGATTTGACCCTGAAAAGTATGTAATTTCCTATAGAGTAGAGATTACATTTCTCACACAACAACCTTTTACAACAACACATCCTGTAATTTTATACTGTAGCATAGTGGTAAGCATCTGTGTATCTCTGTAGCTGCTCTTGGAGGATGCAGGAAAAAAATCTTCACACTTACCCACTTGTTATGACAAACATCAAGGTGTATGCATGTGTACCAAAGTGTTAAATTGGAATTTTTACCCACATAATGGTCAGTCTAACAGGTTTTGTCTATGTGTACTGGAACATTACTGGGGTTAAAATATACTCACACCTTGCTTGTGTTATGGTAAAATGTGTATTTTATCACAAATGGAATGGGCGTGACTCAGTCACTACACCTGAGGAAAGCAAAAACCCAGTTGTGCATTTTGATTTTTTTCTTGAACTTCTTATCTTTAGAAAAAGAAGAGCAAGTCAAGCCCAAAGCTAATAGGAGAGAAGAAATTTAAAAGATTGGAGCAGAAATTAGTGGAACGGACACTAAGAAAACAATACAAAGAATCAATGAATCAAAGAGTTTTTTGAAAGATTAAATAAAATAGCCAACCTTATCAAAAGAAGGAAAGAAAAGACTCAAATCCATGCAATAAAAATGGAAAGATGAAATCACAACAGGTCCTGCAGAAACTCAGGAGATCATCAATACCTGTTTTGAGAATCTGTATTCTAAAAAGATAGAAAACACAGAAAAAATGGATAGGTTTCTAAATATTACCAAATTCCAAATTACCAAAGCTGAATCAAGAATATATAAAATTTTTAAATAAACCAATATCAGTCAATGAATTTGAAAACACAATTTAAAACCTACTAGCAAAGAAAAGCCCGCCTCTGATGGACTCACTGCTGAATTCCACAAGAAATTTAGAGAAGACTTAATGCTGCTACCTTTCAAACTCTTTAATTAAATTGAAAGGAAGCAATACTCCCAAACTTATTCCTGGAAGCAGGAATTCCCCTGATACTAAAAGCAGAGAAAACAACCACAGACCAATCTCCCTAATGAACATAGATGCAAAAATCCTCAGGAAGCACTGGGAAACACAATACAGTAAATCATCATGAAGATTATATGCCATTACCAAGTAAAATTCATCCTAGGGATGTGGGGATGGTTCAACATATACAAATCAATAAATGTAATACACCATATTAACAGAGCAACATTATCATCTCAATAGATACAGAAAAAGTTTTTGACAAAGTCCAACACCTGTTCATGATAAAAACCTTACAGAAAATTGGTATAAGTGATCTTTATCTCAATCTGATTCAAGCCATTTATGACAAACCAACAACCAAAATCATAATATATGAACAAAAGCTGAAAGCTTTCTAAGATCAATAACAAGACAAGAATATTCACTGTCACCACTCTTATTCAACATAGTTCTGGAAACATTAGGCAGGGCAATTAGAGAAGAGAAAGAAGTAAAAGGAATAAGGACAGAAAAGGAAAGTTTTTAATTACCATTATTTGTGGATGACATGGTATTCTACATAAAAGACCCAAAAAATCTCCACCAGAAGACTTCTACATTTATTAACCAAATTGAGTAGCATAGCTAATACAAAGTCAGCATTCAAAAATCAATAACCTTTCTGTACACAAATAACAAACTCACAGAGAGAGAGAGAAATTAGAAATTAGAAAACAACACCTTTCACAATAACATCCAAAAATGTGAAATATATAGGAATCAATCTAATGAAGGAAGTAAAAGACCTCTATGTTGAAAACTATAATACTCTTAAAAAGGAGATTGAAGAGGTTGTCAAAAATAGAAAAAGGAGAAAGGAAAAATAATATGTATGTTGTTAAACATATATATTAACATATATAGTACATATAAATTTATGTTTATGTATGTATGTATATGTACATTACATATATAATTATACTACTAATTTCTCTTAGTTCATCAAAAAGAACAATTTGTGTTGTTATTGTTTGATAATTTTTCTATCTAGTTTTTTTTGTCTTATTTTGTTATCAGTCCTGGAGTTCAAACTCACGACCACACACTTGCAAGGCAGGCACCTATGCTGCTGAGCTAAATCCCCAACCCCTATCTAGATTTTATAACTGAACAACTAGTTTTGAGATAACAACGTGCAATATATTAACTAGTGCTAATTTCCTACTTTTTTCTTTTATTTTTTGAAATTCTTTATCATTTCAATCCTTTTTTTTCTGTTTTTCTTTTTAAAATAAAAAAGAATCAATTAAAAAAGAACAGATATTCTTTATTCTTGGGTAGGAAGAAGCTATATAGGCAAAATTGCCATACTTCCAAAGTTGTTATACAGATTTAGTGCAATCTCAATCAAAACTCCAGAAGAATATTTCATAGAATTAGAAAAAGCAATCCTAAAATTCATTTGGAACTAGTAGAGACCTAAAATAGGAAGAATTCTGGTCAACAAAGGGAAGGTAGGGGCATCACAATTCTTGACTTAAAATCTACTACAAATTTACTGTGATAAAACAGCATGTTGCTGGCACACACACGCACACACACACGCACAACTGACCTGAGGATCAGTGAAATGGATTACAAGATGCAGAAACAACTCCAAACATCTTCAGCCTACTTATATTTGACTACGAGACCAAATGCCTTCACTGGAACAAAGAGAGTCTCTTCAGTAAATGGTGCTGAGAAAACTGGCTTTCCACATGCTGAAGATCAAAACTACATCCATATCTTTCACCCTGCTCTAAACTAAAATAAAAATGGATCAAAGATCTAAATATTAAGACAGAAACACTAAATTTGCTGAAAGAAAGAATAGGTAAAATTCTTGAAAGACATCATTGTAAGCAAAGACTTTATCAACAAAATCTCCATTACTCAGGAAATATCACAAAGAATCACACACTGATATCTCATTAAAAACGTTTTGCACAGTAAGAGAAACCACTAACAGAGTGAAGAGACAACTCATAATGTGGGGAAAAATTTTTTCAGCTGTTCCTCAGACAAAAGACTACTCTATAGTATATATAAATACTAGTATATATAAAAAACTCAGACCCCCTAAATGGGCATCTAAAGTGAATAGACACTTGTGAGATGAATAATTATAAACAGCAAAAACTATATGAAAAAACACTCAGCATCACCAGTCATTTGAGAGATTCAAATTAAAACAGTCCTGAGATTCCATCTTAATCCAGAAGGTATGGCTGTTAACCTTGGGACCTCACCCGCAAAAATCAAAAATCAACCAATAACAAATGTTGGCAGGGCTATGAGGAAAAAGGAACCCCTCTCCACTGTTGGTGAGAATATAGAATGATACAACCACTGTGGAAATAAGTGTGGATATTCCTCAAATATTAAAACTAAAGGCTCCACTTGACCCAGATATTCCCCTTTTTGGCATCTTCCTGAAAGAATTCAAATATCATTCAATGATATATGCATGCAGTGAAAAATAGCTGCACCATTTGTAATAGCTAAATTTTGGCAACAGCCTAAATGCCCATCAGCAGATGAATGGGTAGAGAAGATATGGTTTCTTCATACAGTGCAGTACCGCTCTGCCATAAAGAAGGATAAGCTTGAGACATTTCTTGGCTAGATGGGTGCCTCTTGAGACCACACTCTTAAGGGAAATAAACTGGATTCACATGTGAAAATATCACATTATTTCCGTAGTGTGAGAAAAAGAAAGTGTAAATAAGGACCAAAATGTACAGATTTGGGAAATGGTAAGAAAATGTTCAAATGAAAAGAGAAACAGGGGAGGGGAGAAGGAAAAAAGGAACAAGAAAAAAAGAATAGAAAGAAAATGGAAGCAAATATTCTGTAAATAAAGAGGGGAAGAAGGCTTGAAGAGAGGAGAGGGGATGGAAAAAATAAAAAGCAAGATATATCATGTACAGGTACAAACTCCATACGATGAATGCTATCACTACTTACATCTAAAGTGTACAAATAAAATAAACCCAGAGGAGTGTATCATACAATATTTGGATTTCAGGAAGATAACATTGTTTGCATATATGCAAAGAAAAACAAACTTAAACAGTGTCAACATTACACCACGATGGGAATATTGATAAGGAAATCTCAACAAGATGGAAGCCTGAGATGGAAATTTTCTACACCAAAACCAAAGGTGACTTATATAGCAACTATGATGTTGTTTGAAATACAAAGTAGTGGCTAATGGTTGTAGGTATTTTAGTCAATCTTAAACATGCATGGCATAAATAGTTTGATAGCTTACAAAGAAAACAACAAGTTTAAAGTATCACAGAGAAATTTTTTGTTTTAATATTTTATGTTCCTATTAAGTATTCATTGTTTAATGCAACAAAACTCATAAAATTAGGATTAGTAATTCATCGATAGAAATATTATAAAGAATCAGTGTAGATATTTTACCCTCATGATAATGCACCAAAATTGGTATTATG